TTGTTAGGAAAACGACCGCGGCTGGGATCGCCCGTGACTAGGCCGGTGCGGCGGCCGGAAATGCGCATGCGTGGGCCGGCGCGGCGGCCGGAAGTGTGGGGCAGTCGCCGCTGAGCCCTGGCCGCGTGGTCATGTGTCTGGAAGGGGAGCCGGCACGGGGGAGTCCCGTGCCGGGTGCGTCTGATCGGTCTGAACGTGGAACCGGAGACTAATACAGAGTGTGACATTCCGAACCGCTCTCTGGCCAGGTGTCGCACGGCTGAGTAACGCGAGGCGAGGACAGAACAACTATCCCACCTTCTAAAATGTTGTTAAAACCAGTTAAATTGTGCCCAACTTTATAGATTGGATGACCAGGAACACGGTTCTGGCATTTATTTTTCATTAAACATCTTAGGCTTCCCATATTCCAAACACAAACTTTCAAATATGTGACGTCACAGCCCAAAATTACCTCCTTCCCCAGGCCACATTACTGTCATAAAGCTGATTCTTTTTACTCTGTAGGCACCACAACAAAGTTCAGACCAAGTTTTAAGCGATTTTTCAACGAACAAACCCATTTAAATCAGAATGACTAAACGAGGTGACGTCACACTAACGGTCGCTCCATGTTGAAGATAGGGCCTTGCGCAAGGCCCATTTTCAAACGAAGGGAACGAATTTCTTCAACACCAAGAGGCCGCGGGGGTTGCAACCTAGATAGATAGTGGTTTGTGAACCTCGCCGCAAACTTGGCTATCTCAACTCAAACCCCATGTTAAGGGTGGGATAGTCCCTCATGCGAGTTTCTGTCCATCTGTGGGATGGACGGGAGTTCAAGCCAGGACACTAAAAGAGTCAAACATTTTGGCCCTCTAGAGCCCAAACGCTTGGACCGCTCGGTACGGAGGTGGCACCGTTCGACTCACACCGATTTCCTGCAGAGGCGGTGATACCGATGACACCGAGATCGGGTGGATTGACGCCACGTGGCACTGATAATGTATGGCTAATTGAGTGACCGACAGACGGTGCTGGTCTGGGTAGGTTTTAGCCGTTTTCACGACGGCCATCTGGTACACATTTGGTGCACATCTGGTACCTACAGATTAGGCGCAGATTTGGTCAAATCAGGTTCAGTGTGTCTCTTAGCAGCTATCAGCTAGGGTTGCACTAATTGCTTATATGCCTGCTTTGTCATATTATCAGAGAGCATCATCGATTAACCCTCGCCCCGTTGGGGGGGGGCCATTTTGGCCCCCCCCTGTGGTTTTTCCTGAATAGCAAGAAAACGGCGGCGCGCAGCGCCGCCAAATTTTCAGTACCTTCCCAGGAATCAATTTGACACCTTCACACCAAATTTCAAGTCTTAGGTCACCTTAGGTCAGGAGTTATTGAGGTCAAACTGAGGTCATGTTCGAGCAAAAATGACCAAAAAACATGCAATCTTGAAACGCTCACCAAATCTACAGTTATCAAGCAATTTCAAAGTTCTTTATATGGTGTAGTAGACAAAAAGCGGTGCTACAAAACTGCTATCTCGGATTTTCAAAATTTTGGGTTTTTGACCCCAAAAAATTCAAAAAATTGATTTTTTTAGAAAAACTAAAAAAAATCCAAAATTTTTCCGAATTTCGAAAAAACCGGAATATATGTGATAGTCCCTGCGCTCTTCTATATACATACCAAATTTCAGATCGATATCTCGTTTTTTGGCCAAGTTATAGCGAAAAAACTGTTCAAAAATGATGACGTCAAATTTTTGAACTCAATTTTTAGCGATTCTAGACCACGTACGGCAAAACAAAGACCACCATTGAACTCCCCGTGACGAGCTGCATCGATTCGATACCCATTTTATGCAAAAATATTAACTTTAAAATTTGACCTAATTTGACCTGACCTTGACCTGACCTTGACCTGACCTTGACCAAAACGTGACCTAAGCTGGCCCCAAAGGCTGCCTGACCCACACAATCGCATTCGTCATGTAAAATGGACCATAAAACATGTATCACACGACACTTTCATATTGTGACCCCCCCGTGACCTGACCTCTGTGACCTGACCTGGTATCAGTGACCTCAAATAGCAAAATATGTGTTTGAAGAACATTTCCCCATCGATGACTTTCAATGAAATGCATTTTACTCGATTTTACAACGCATTTCTTGAAATGCCTATAAACGGTGAAAATTGGACCTTTGACCTGACCTGTGACGTCATCGGTTTGACCTAGGTCAATAAAATTGGGTCACAAGGTAGTTCCCTGATAGGGCTATCCAACACCGTTTGCCGCTTGTCGCTAGGTTGCGTGGTTCTCGAGATCTTAGGGGGGGGCCAAAATGGCCCCCCCCCCCCAACGGGGCGCGTTGCTCGGCAGAGCCCAACGGGGCGCGGGTTAACCCGCGCCCCGTTGGGCTCTGCCGAGCAACGCGCCCCGTTGGGGGGGGGCCATTTTGGCCCCCCCCTAAGATCTCGAGAACCACGCAACCTAGCGACAAGCGGCAAACGGTGTTGGATAGCCCTATCAGGGAACTACCTTGTGACCCAATTTTATTGACCTAGGTCAAACCGATGACGTCACAGGTCAGGTCAAAGGTCCAATTTTCACCGTTTACAGGCATTTCAAGAAATGCGTTGTAAAATCGAATAAAATGCATTTCATTGAAAATCATCGATGGGGAAATGTTCTTCAAACACATATTTTGCTATTTGAGGTCACTGATACCAGGTCAGGTCACAGAGGTCAGGTCACTGGGGGGTCACAATATGAAAGTGTCGTGTGATACATGTTTTATGGTCCATTTCACATGACAAATGCGATTATGTGGGTCAGGCAGCCTTTGGGGCCAGCCTAGGTCACGTTTTGGTCAAGGTCAGGTCAAGGTCAGGTCAAGGTCAGGTCAAATTAGGTCAAATTTCAAAGTTGATATTTTTGCATAAAATGGGTATTGAATCGATGCAGCTCGTCACGGGGAGTTCAATGGTGGTCTTTGTTTTGCTGTACGTGGTCTAGAATCGCTAAAAATTGAGTTCAAAAATTTGACGTCATCATTTTTGAACAGTTTTTTCGCTATAACTTGGCCAAACAACGAGATATCGATCTGAAATTTGGTATGTATATAGAAGAGCGCAGGGACTATCACATATATTCCGGTTTTTTCGAAATTCGGAAAAATTTTGGATTTTTTTTTAGTTTTTCTAAAAAAATCAATTTTTTGAATTTTTTTGGGTCAAAAACCCAAAATTTTGAAAATCCGAGATAACAGTTTTGTAGCGCCGCTTTTTGTCTACTAGACCATATAAAGAACTTTGAAATTGCTTGATAACTGTAGATTTGGTGAGCGTTTCAAGATTGCATGTTTTTTGCTCATTTTTGCTCGAACATGACCTCAGTTTGACCTCAATAACTCCTGACCTAAGGTGACCTAAGATTTGAAATTTTGTGTGAAGGTGTCAAATTGATGCCCGGGAAGGTACTGAAAATTTGGCGGCGCTGCGCGCCGCCGTTTTCTTGCTATTCAGGAAAAACCACAGGGGGGGGCCAAAATGGCCCCCCCCAACGGGGCGAGGGTTAAAACACTGAAATAAATTCATAAAATGAAGATATTTGCTGTAAAAGAAATTAGGTTCAGATTTGGTCAAATCAGGTGCATTCGCCGGATAGCCAGTCGTGAAAACAGCTAATGTATAGTGGCTCGACAGATGGTATTGGTCTGGGTTTTGGAGTGAATGCAGACGATGCTGGTCTCAATGGAGTGACTCGACAGACGTCGTTGGGCTGGGTAACCTTGGGTTGGTGGGGGGGGGGGGGGCGTTTTTGGTGACACCTCTCAGGTTTTTTCTGTGTGTACAAAGAAAACCGCGGCGTGCAATGCCGCGAAACTTGGTCTAGCTGTTTCATCTATTTCGCAGCATATGTGTAATTTTCGACCCCAGGTTACATAAGGTCAGGTCGCCAAGTCAATTCCAACCGAGCATGACTGGGGTGTGTGTGGGGGGGGGGGGGGGGTGCAATACCTTCTGAACTGCTGGACCTTTCAACACGAAACTCTTTCGCTTCGGCTGCATCGATTTGATGCCTTGTGTCCAAATAATAATTTCGTAGCTACGAGAGGTGGGCTGGAAATGACGTCAGAATGACGTCACATTTGGCCGATTTCGATGCAAAGTATCGAACTACGGCGATCTCTCTCAAGAGCTCAGTTATTAAGCCACATCCTTTTTGCATGAGAGGACTTAAAGGACTCTCCCACCTTCAAAAAAGTTAAAGGGACCCTCCCACCTTCAAAAAAGTTGATGAATTGGCATGGAAGTGATGTCGCTCGGTTCAGAAAGAGCGAAAACGAATATCTACAAAATTTCATCGAAAAATATTCACCGGTTTTCAAGATACTTGACTTTTACTTTTGTTTACTTTTTGGGATCTCCGCTTTTCCTAGCGACATTATTTGAAAGTGTGGCACTTGTTGCGCGCAAAGCAGCAAAAGTCAAAACCGCGTGCTACCATGATGTCCATCAAGACAGCCCTAGAGTGTATTATAGTTACAACGAGGAGGTTCATTGTAAATATATGGCGGGACTGGGTGCGCGGGGCAGACGGCATGTCTGCAACGTATATACTCCGTGCAGCGGCACCCCTATCGCAGAACAACGCGGTAGTGCCGCCGCTATCGAGCTGTTCAAGGGTCGAGTGGTCGGGGTGGACAGCTCCACCCGATCACGGGCCGACAGTAGCGGCGGGTCCGCCACGGCGGCTACACCATCGGCCCCAGCCGCTACGCCGTGACTGTCGCACAGCCCTCGCGCGACTGTCGCACGATCCTCACGTGGTGGGGAGTGTCGCACGGGCCCAAGGCCGTTTTGGAGGGGGTGTGGTACCGCGGTTTCTGAAGAGTGCCCAAGTGTCGAGCGCAGATAGGCGCGCCGGTGTTTCACTCGGAGCGCAGCCTGGCACTGTGTGTGGGATGAAGTGGATGAACCAGGAGGATGGCGTCTGCAACCACAATGGCCAGCACCGGTTTCGCTCGGATCGACAGCGGCGACAAGAGGATGACGCTGCTCATCCAGGAGGCCCAAGGTAAGTGCAAATGGCTTCAGAAGAATGGTCGGCCGCAGTCAACATTTAGTCGCTAATACTGCAGCCTATGCCGCACGCATGTACAGTATATGCAAAAAGTATGTCCCCTGGTTTGGCTCTCCCACAGGAGGCGAATCGGTAACTTGGCTGAGTCCCAGTTGCGGCACCCGGCCGCCAGGGTCGCTGCTGCGCGAGCGGCCTTGACCGCTCGCATGTCATTGGCAGTTCGGTCCCTTCCCATCTATACCGAGGTGGGGAGGGGAGAAGAGGGGAAGAGAAGGGAGGGAGCGGCACTCGCTCGGCACTGGGTGATGCCTGGCTGACCCCGCGCTCCCTCGCTGACCTCCGTCCTGCCCTCAGGCGAAGATCGACTTCCTCGGCCCGTAGCGGCCGAGCGGAAAACCGAGCTCGCGGGGCGCGACTCCATTGCCCCAATCTTATAAATGAAATGCTGTCGTATTCACGGCATTAGATAATGTCGTATTCACTGCATTTTACCACAGCAGTGGATGTGGTAAAATGCAGTCCAAAACAAACGGAAGCACACGATTGGTGCATAATGCGCCCTCCCATTCAAATAAGGCCGCCCACTTCAACAGATGGTGTAGTTTCTTAGGGCGTACTCGTAGATGCAAAACACTACCGAACTTTTTTAGTTCGGCCACTGGGACCGTTAATATACAATGGACTGAAATGCGTGAAAACCATTTTGCATTTAATAGCCGTTTTCTGCACCCAAACTTTAGCCAGTGACGCCCTGTCCATTCTAAAGCGTTCATGAGATTGGTCCCAGCACCCGATTTTATATGAGAAAGTCGTTTAAGAAGCATCTTATCTCTAACCAATTTATTTATTATGGCCATTTTTACAGGACGTCTATAGAGCTTTGACTTTTACATTTCTTCCTCGTTCAGGAGCAACGTTTTAACCCTCACCAGGTTTCAGGTTTTCTGAATACCGAGGGGGCGTTGGGGGGTTGGAAGTGAGGGAACAACCCCCTTCGCCGATTCGCCCCTAATTGAGCCAGAGCCTCACGAAAGAAACGATCGTGTCCGTCGTTACGAAATGCAGCGATTGGTCTCCGATTTTAAGGACTAGGGTCAGCCGATGACTTCTGAGGTCAGGTCAAGTGGTCCAAGGCACAGGTTCGGTTTTTGGTAAATAACTTCGCTAAAAATGATCGCAGATCCGCGATTTTAGCAGCATCGTGTTTGTCTAGCTCAGGCGTGTCGAATGGTATACTTTTTCTTCGGGTGAGATCAACTTAAGGTGTTAACTTTGGGTCAAGGTCAGGTCACAGCCCGTCAGGTCACGAAGCTGGTCAAATGAGGTCATATTCAATTCAATCACATCAATCGATTCGGCAGGTCTTTCCATGTCCATTAGTGGCTTTATCGACTCGGTAGCTTTAGTTGATCGGGAGTTATTGACGAAAAACAGATGAGCCAAAAGGGTTTTGTCTTATAAGTTGACCCTAGGGCCTCACAATAGTCTTGCCCGGAAAAATGTACCTATATATTTTTTTGTATACACTGTGTATATTTCTACTATTTGGCGCGGCTGAGCATGACAAACGTAATACCACCGAGCCGCCTTCCCCTGTGACCATTTTGCGAGGTTAATCAAATCCTGACCTTGTTTTTCCCTGGCCATTAATGTTCTAACCTTACGGGTGATTGTTTGAGCGCGGAAGATGCTGAATCTTGGTTAACCCCATACTTACATATATGATAAAGAACGTCAGTGTTAGAAAGTTAATTAACAATTTAGTTTAGGAAAGTTTAATTCAAGTCGGTATGAATCCGACTTGACAATTTACTAGGTGCAGGTTTTGCAGCGCTATTAGTTTGGCATGTAATTATAAATCACTGCTAATTTCGATCCGGATATAGTTATTCAATGCTGGCCTTCGCGTCCTCAGAAAAGTTGTTTATAATCATGAAGGCTTGCATTGACCCATACTTTCCATTTTTCAGCACCATTATTCGCCGTAGTTGACCAGGTGTTATTCTTCAGCTCTCCCCTGAATCATTTGGCTTAGACCCATGGCGTATCACCCGTGCACCGCAAGACGCACCTACCACACACAAGTTCACGATCCCCACGAACCCACATCAGCGTCCGTTCGCTTGGTGTGTGACCTCTTGACCTTTGGCCGCGACAACTGCCAGCTTGCCGGAGCACCCCTCCCTACACGCGCTGCCCGCCCGATCTCCTCCCTCTCTCCCTCCCCCCCCCCCCCCGGGGGTCGTGTCACGAAGGTTCGGGCTTACGCTACTACCGGCCGCTGCGCAGCTGTCACCGCGCTTGGGAATGTGTTGTCTGGTGCGGATTCAGCCAACTACCGGCTCGCGACACCAGCGCCACGTAGTGGCGACGGTACATTCTTTTTAGACATACTGTACACACGCATGTACTTACATAGCAGCTCCGGACTCCTGAAGATCCGAATCCTTTCGGTCATCAGCTCGGGTACACACTACCCAGTCCCGCTGCTGTGTGTCCAAGGGCTACAAATAAAGAAGTGGCTTTTAATGCTAGACTTCTCTAACATTGTTACGGATCTAGTTCGTCGCGCAATTTCAATCGATGCAATATATTTCCATTTTCCTGCCGTACCTATTCGGGGCCCGGGGAGCCGTGCTCGCTCCATATTTACTCTGCCGTCTCGTTTTACTCATTTGGAATCGGTATTTGCTCGTGCCAGGACAATTCGAGTCAATTCCTCCTCTCGGCGAGGTTCGGGTGGTGGAGGACAGGGATCGGAAGCAGGGCGACGCAGCACGACAGACAGATCACACCTGTACATAGTCCGAAAACATTGAACCACGCGCGGACTGACCAATATGTTCGGGGCCATCCGTAGAGGACCAGTGCATGGTAACTTGGTAGGGGATCCACTTGATTATCAAGACTCGCACTCATAACTCGATCCCATTGATAAGGCGGAAAGTGGATAGCTGGAAAATAAAGAGGTAGCAAAGCCGGCGTTTAATCAAAACGGAAAAATCGTTTCTTATGCTTGATGTACGACACATTTTTTATGTGTCGTACATCTTGATGTACGACACATAAAAATGTGTAGACATGTCGTACATCTTAACCCGCGCACCGACGGGGGGGGGCGGATATCCGCCCCCCCCCTGAGTTTTTTCGCGAATAGCGGAAAAACCGCGGCGCGTAGCGCCGCGAAATTTGGTACGACTATTCCCTCATCAATTTTACACATGGTGTGCAAGTTTGAAACTCCTACCTTTCAAGGTCAGGTCACCAGGTCACTTTGAATGACCCAACCTCAAGTCACTTTTTTGCAACTTTGTCACCGTGCCAGAGCTACAGTAGATGTCGGAGGCCTTTGAAAGTCGCAGGATGTTATTAGGTCATTAGTAGCTACATTTTGTATATCTCGGAATTTTGATATCGGTGACCTAAGGTCAGGTCAATTTCGCGACCTCCCCATTATAAGTTAATGGGGGAAAAATCAACTCCCTGTTTTTACCACTAAAACGGGTCGGAATGGCCCCATATACCATACATGACTTCATATACGATCAACCTTCACTACCTTGAGGTCTGTTTTGCTGTTGGGCAGCTGTGAGGTCATGTGACGTCATCAAAGGTCACCAAAGGTTTTTGGCCAATAACTCCGTACAGGAACAAGATACAGACGCGTGGATGGTCTCATTGTGTTCAGCTTGTCAAGACGCATCGAATGATATACATGATGACCTCGAGGTCACGTGACCTGAGGTCAACCTTTGACCTTGACCTTTCGAGGTCAACATATATACCATTCGATGCGGATTGACGAGAGGATCACGATGATGCCCTTAGTTTGTTCCTATCTTGACTAATTCGAAAGTTATTCGATAAAAACTCTCTCCATATCTAGCGCCGCCATTTTGACCTTTTCGACCCCTGTGACGTCATCTTTGACCTGACCTGAAAATGACCTTTGTAAAAATTGTAGATCTTGACCGTGCGTATCCGATGCCGTTTACCGCTTGTCGCTATCTTGCTTCGTTCTCGAGATCTCAGGGGAGGGGGCGGTCATCCGCCCCCCCCCCCGTCGCACGGTAGGCGATCGGGCCGGTCTAGCCTCGCGAAACCTCAAAGACACGTTTTTTCCGAAAATTGGAAAACAACGCATACTAGTCGACAGAAAATTCATCAAAGATTACGATTAGTGCAGTTGCATGGCTCAGGAGACATTTTTTCGTAGACAAAAGTATCGTTAAAGACAGCGTTCCGTAACACTTCATAAGGGGGATAATCACAGCCGATTTTTACGCTCTTTGAATATTTTGCGGAATGATGAAATTGCTAGGTGTTGAGCATCCATTTTGCATGGAAAGTGAAATTTAGATGTTTAAACGATTCCGCCATAGAAAGCAAGTAAACAAAATCAGTTCAAAATGTCTTTTAATTAGGCTAACTTTTTATATTTTTTTTCTACCACTGAACATTACGTTCACTGAATTAACTAAGCCCAGCAAAAAAAGTTTTACGAGGATGAACTGAAAATAATGCTGTATCGCATGCACTAAGACACTATCTATTAGGGGAGCCAGTGAAAACTTGCAGCCACTTGCAGCCCTGGCATCCAGACACTTTTTTCTTCTAAGGGTTGGCCGTGGCTTGGTGCACTTGAACACAAGTGGTAAATGCCCCAAAGGTTTTTTTTTCGCGATAGCTCAAAACACCCAGGCAATAGAGAGCTGCAACTTAGCATACCTGACCTTTGATGCACGCTGGATCTTGTGATGCCAACCGCACTTTCAAGTCAGGTCAGGTCACTGACCTATGACGTCATAAGTGAACCTCTGCACGATCCTCAGATGTCGCAACCTTGCAACGCTCTCAGTGCCAGAATAACTTTCACAGGGAGGTGAGACTTGCAGGACTTATTGTCCTTTAGAGGTCTTACAACTTTTTTATCTCAGATTTTTTCTAAATGTCACATAAAGTCAGGTTGGTCACGTGACCTCACCTATAAGTCA